TGCATCCATGGGTCAAGATAAACGCATGTAGTGCTGAACACGTAACATGAACGTGCCGGGCGGCGCGGTCCCGTGGGTTAGATGCGCGTTCATAATGCAGAGGGAAATAACTCTCAGAATAACGTTATTAGCACATTTTTACAACTTGAGGAACGAATGTTTTTAATAAGGGCTATACAAGTGTTCATACTGGGTAGTTTATTTAGTTTAAAAAAAATTATCCAACGAGTTACAGACCACTCTTTCCCCATGTAAGTCAATGGGAAAAAGTGTTTCCGGGCCTGGCAACCAAAAGGAAGTGTAGTACCGCCGTTTGGCCAGCACGAATATTTTCATCAGAGTCCGGCGCACTTCCTGGGGGCTTGCCTGCTCCCTGTGCGCAGATGCGACGCGTCATATGACGTCACATGTTTGGCATGTCTCGATTGAATATGCTTTATTTAAAACTAAAACAAGGACAATAAACAAGCCAGTCTTCACAACGGCCGGTGTCAAAATACTTTGAGCCGCCCTATAGCCAAAGCCCGAGATACTGTTTACTATAAATTGACGGGGAAGGGGGTAGCAATAAAGATAACACCATTAAACAGTTACACAACATAACAGACATAATATCGATAGCAGCGTCCCTAGCAACCACCTTGGTAACAATGAAAACGTTGTATTTACACAATTTCCTGAAGTATTCTTCGTAATAACTAGCAAACTAAAGATCATGTACATCCACTGCACACATAATCTGAAATAACAACTCATATTTCTCGCATCAAATGACATCAAAACGCATTTTAATGGCCAAACTAACCTTAAAATAGGCATTTTCTAACGAGAATAAAACGAAGGTCGGCCATGTTTTTTTATTTCTGCGGAGAGAAAGTTGAAGATCACGTGACATAGACGCCAGCCATTGGAAATGAATGGTGAAAAAAAACGTAGGGATCCTACAATTTCAGAGGCGTTTTTGTAGAAATACTACGTCCCAAGTTGTGGACCAACGTAGTTATTACACGTTTAGATGTGAGACTGGGTTGGGGAAACATGTGACAAGGCAAAACATAGCTTCACCTTGGAAACCTACCAGAATGCAGAAATAGTTGTTTCGATTAGGCTAAATAATATACTGTTGCACTTTGTCCTCTGTTCTAGTTTGTGAGGCCTTCATCATCCCTATAATTCCAGACACAATTGAATTTTGATAAAGAAATGTCACTAGTTTAGGAGCTTAGCGGTCTCTAGATAATGTGCAGCATTACCATCAGCTCCACAGAGCCGCGATCTGGGTCACAGCACCCATATCATGAGCTGCATTCATTTGAGGTTTAAGAATTCCTCTCAGTGATAGTCACCATACAGTATGCCTATGTTATGTCTCTGCCTCTGTTCTGGTAAAAAATAAGATCTGCAGTAAGACAGAGGACATCGGCTTGGTGGACTTCCATATAATTTACTGTGTTGTTACAAGTTGAGGTTTTCATAAATGTGTTTCTCCACTTGCTCAGATAACATGCTAATATTCTGGGATGCTTTCCAGTATTAGTAAACTTACAATGAGCAAAACAATCTGGTCTGAACATATGATAATTTAAAATATGGCCTTGTAGTGATCACTGATTCATACACTGGGGTTACATAATTCAATCCGGGAACTACAGGTTGGGGGTATTGTTTCCGCCCGGACATATATGTTGACGGTACCTCCGGGGTACCTACTGTGTGTCCTCCTCTTTCACTTTCTCTTCTCTTCTCCTCTTTCCTGCAACCCGACAGCACGTCGATTTCTGCTCTCCAATAAAGAGAGATTTGCAACTCTGATACACCGCCTCCGTCTCCCTTCTCTCGGCACTACATTGGTGACCCTGACATAAGTCTCGCGAAGGATCCGAGACTGACTCGAACACGGCAAGAAGCGCAGCTTCTCTCGAAATGCCGGAGATTCTTGGAGACGTCCGTGGCTGCCTCGTGCGCTCGGACTGAGGCTCGGTGCGCCCCACGGAATGGCTGGGAACGTCGCTCACCATTCCCGCTTCGTCTCGGCACTGGAGGGCAGCAAGCCTTCCTGCTACGAGGAGACGATGCACGACCTGCTAGGTATGGAGGAACCCGACTTCTACCTCGTGGGGCTGTTTCTTCGGGACATGCGGCTGCATGTCCAGGCTGCGCTAGCTAACACGGCTAGTGTTGAGCCCCACGCTTTGGCCGAAGAAGCTTGCCGGTTCTTCCTGGCCGCCCGGCGATTTACCCCAATGGTGCTTGCCACTGCAAGCTGCAGCACCTTCCCTGGTAAGGGCACGCCGCCTAGCAGGGGCTCCGGGGACGACGACGACAGCGACTACCGGCCGTCGAGACCGGCTGGCCTCGACGGCTAACGACAGCTAGCCACGACAGCTAACGGCTAGCTGCTACCAGCGGCTAGCGACGACTGCTAGCAACGGCTGACGATGTCTAGCAGCTACCGGCGGCTATCGACATCCGACTGTTTTTTTTTTTGTTTTTGTTTTTTGTGGTGCCGGAGAGGAGGTTCGATCATGTCTGGTCGGCCTCGCGTGGATCCTCTCGCTATTTCGCCCACCTGTTTTTGTTCGTGGACGGGACGACCATTTTTGAGCTTTTTCTGGTGTCTGAGAGGAGGTTCGACCATGTCTGGTCGGCCTCGTGTGGACCCTCTCGCTGTTTTCACCACCTCGACGGCGGCTTCGGACGTCACACAGTGGGCGCTTCTGGACCCCGTCTCGCCTCTTCCCTCGCCTCGGCGGTTCCGGACGTCGCCCATGCCTTCATCGGCCCGTGGGTGGCGCGCTTCGGGACCCTGCCTGGCATCGCCTCTTCCCTCGCCTCGGCGGTTCCGGACGTCGCCCATGCCTTCATCGGCCTGTGGGTGGCGCGCTTCGGGACCCTGCCTGGCCTCGCCTCTTCCCTCGCCTCGGCGGTTCCGGACGTCGCCCATGCCTTCATCGGCCCGTGGGTGGTGCGCTTCGGGGCCCTGCCTGGCCTCACCTCTAACCGCGGCTCACGGTTCGCCTCGACGGCGCCCCGTCTGGCCTCTCCCCTGTCCACGGCTCCTTCCTCCCGGGGACACGGCTCCTTCCTCCCGAGGACTTCGTGCCCGCCGCCGCTGTGCCTTCGCCTGCGGCCGGGCAGTGCTCCTCCCTGCTGGGGACCACCGGGTTTTTTTTTTTTTTTTTTTTTTTTTTTTTTTTTTTTTCACGCCCGTCCCCTGGTCTCGACACAGCGACCCTGCTTTCTGCGGCCCCCTGACGACGGCCCGTTCCGGCCCGCCGCCCGCCCTCCGGTGGGGATGCCCTCGCCTTCGTTGGGGCCCCTACCCTCTCCTGCGGCCCCCTTCCGACGGCCCGTTCCATGGCCCGCCCTCCTCGGCCCCTGTGGTGCTTCCTCCCGACGCGAGGATTGTGTCCATGGTTGAATTCTGGGGGGGCTTGTGTAGTGATCACTGATTCATACACTGGGGTTACATAATTCAATCCGGGAACTACAGGTTGGGGGTATTGTTTCCGCCCGGACATATATGTTGACGGTACCTCCGGGGTACCTACTGTGTGTCCTCCTCTTTCACTTTCTCTTCTCTTCTCCTCTTTCCTGCAACCCGACAGCACGTCGATTTCTGCTCTCCAATAAAGAGAGATTTGCAACTCTGATACACCGCCTCCGTCTCCCTTCTCTCGGCACTACAGCCTTAAATTTGAAAACATTAGGATTTGGAATTAGAAATTTCACATCCACAAATGTCGCTTCCTCAAAATGTCTACAGTATTTATTGATTAAAGATTCAAAGATGTATTGTCATGTCATATGCATAACTACGGTGTAACTACTGAAAAACGTAGGTAACAGGTTCCTTAACAGTGCAACTGTGTAATTTCAAGACATACTATTGGATTTCTTAATGACATGGAACTATACCAAAAAAAAGTCAAACAATTATACCAATTTCCCAATAATAAACTTAATTCTGGATTGACCACTTTGTTTTTGTTTTTTTTACCTAAGTTTTCTGTTCATAATGCCCTCAGTTAGAATTCATTTAAAGGGGACCTATCATGCAAAATGCACTTTTGTACGTCTTTTATACATGAATATGTGTCCCCGGTGTTTCAGGGAACTCACCAAGTGTCAGAAAACACAACCCTCTCTCTTTTCCTCCATACCCAAATCTCTAAAAACGGGGCTGCAACGGATCTGATACAGACTGATCAAGATTTGAACATTTCTCTGACGTCAGGACGGAGGAGCTGACCTATCAGGGGAATGAGAGGTTGCCGTGGCATGGTAACAACATGGTAACACGACGCTCGTAACTCGGCCCCCTCCTTTGCAGGGGGGCGTGGTCAGCTGCAGCGCATGCAAAGACGGTGGAGGAGTGCAAAATAGAGCGAAATGAGGCATGACTAAAATGCATGATCTGTTTGGTATTTTGAAAAATAAAACGTATAAATATACCTTATATAGGTATGGCCCTACAATATATTATTCAAATATAGCATGATAGGTCCACTTTAATGAACACTGATGTGGATTGCCTTTTTTATGTTTTTCATAAATTGTTCAATAAAGTTGGAAAAACAAAAAACAACATGCAAATATGACTGAAGACTAATGGGTATATGGATGGAGATACTTGTACTTTACTTGATTATTTAAATATTTAGCTACTTTGTAGGCTACTCCTCTACAGTTCAGAGGTAAATGGTGTACTTTTACTCCATTACATGTATTTAATACCTTTAGTTACTTTACAGATCTGGATTAATGATGTGAAATATAGTCAACTCTTAAATCAGACTTTAGTTCCACCTGGAGTAAATTCACAAAATTGTAAATGCCCCCTCTGTGGGACGAATAAAGGTATTCTGATTCAGAGTCTCCCAAGATATCTCGAGTAAGGTTGCCATGATAACGTCTGACGTCAGCCCACCAACCCTACCGCCACGCCCCCCCCCCCCCCCCCCCCCCCCCCCCCCCAACGCCCTGGCCGTGCCCTGGACTGGTTTCATTGGAGGGAAACCCCGTGGATTTCATTCAGACAGACGGGCTGAGAGAAGAAGCTGTAGCTTCGCACGACGAAATCACTGCTATCTACCAGAACTCAGGTATGAAATGAGTTTCACCCTTTTAAACGGCTCTTTTACGATTGCATTATGTATCGCTAGGTCTTCTAACGCTTCGTAAAATATAGTTATAATCGAAATGTACCGCCTTCGATTACCCGTGGGGCTGCGTTTAGCGACGACAATCACCAGACCATAGAACAATGGCTAGCTTGGCTACAGTGGGATATGTCTAATGGCTGGTTTTAAAATGGAAGAGCAGACGTGAAAGGCGGGTCGAAGGTTGAAGCGCTGATATTTTGTTGTATGGAGTACAAACGTCAAACCTGCTAACTAAAGTCACTTGTCACGTTGTGCTTACTGGTTTCGTGTGTATGTCGCCTGTTAGCTAATAACGTAAAGTATTACCAGGCATCTGTATAGGGATGCATTGTTTATAAGATATAATAACTGTTGCGTGTAAATGTGTATGTTATTCTCCAAAGATTAGTTACATTTTATGATTTTAGCGTCTGCAATACTACATATTTGGTACAACAGCACCGTGGCACGAAATGTAACGTTAGTATATCCGTTTGCTGACGTAATGTGTCAAGAATGTGTCATTAACGTTTGAAAAATAAGCAATGCGTGAGGAAGTGAGATACACTATGCCAAAGGACAGCCAGCTAAACCAAGATGCACACCTTTTTATAATGTAAAATAAGGATGGCGTCGTGCTTCAAAACCAACTAAAGAATGGGTGATTAAGTGAAAAGTAAAGTTTGAAATGGTTTAAACACGTTATGAGGTAATCAGGAAAGATACACAATTGGTTAAAACCCTAGCACATTAGTAAAATATGGCTTGTTCGGAATGCTACGTTTCAGGAAATAGTTGGTGTCATTCTGGAAACGGGTCACGAGGGCCTAACAGTAGAGTTGGGTTTTCCTTCGTCGGATGTGGTTTTTCTTTAGAAAATATTTGCATTTTGTTAAACATACATTTCATTGAAGCTCTTCTGGATTATTGTCGGCCAGATATTGTAACATTTATCACAGTAATCGTCTTTTATCCGGACTGTAGTTTCCGTGTTCTCGCATGTTGCCGCAGGTACAGGATTGGGTGTGGTGTGTATGCGTGCTTGTGGGTGTGTGTGTGTGTGTGTCTGTACAGGACAGAGAGCGGGGGGGGGGCTCGTCTGCGTCTGCCCTAGATTCTAGCTAGAGATACATAGTAATCGTAGATAGTGTATATGCACAGGAGGAAAAAGTACTCGGATCTTTTAAAAGTAAAATGACCAGAGTGTAAGAATACTCTACAAGTCCTGCAATCCAAATGTTACTCAAGTAAAAGTGTAAAAGTAGAAAAGTATTGGCATCAGAATATACTTTAAAAGTACTCAGTTATTCAGATTGGTCCATTTCAGAATAATATCTATGATATGTTTTATAATTATTGATCATTAAAGTGTTATCAAAGCTGGTAAAGGTGCAGCTAGTTTGAATGACTTTGTATACTGCAGGGTAGCTTGTGAATTTACTCCAGGTGGAGCTAAAGTCTGATTTAAGACTTGATTATATTTCACATCATTAATCCACATCTGTAAAGTAACTAAAGGGGGCGGCTGTGGCTCAGTGGATAGAGTGCTGGACTTCGAATCAGGGGGTACCAAGTTCGAGTCCCACTACAGTCAGCATGTCGTTGTGTCCCTGGGCAAGACACTTCACCCCAAATTGCTCCTGTGTACTCTGTATGTACTGAATGTATGTAAGTCGCTTTGGATAAAAGCGTCTAACAAATGACATGTAATGTAAAGGTATTAAATAAATAGTAGCAATAAAGGCAAGTTCCTCAAAACTATACTTAAGTATACAGTACTTGAATAAATGTACTTAGGTACTTTACACCCCTGTGTATATGTACTATGACTGCTAATAGTCTCTCACAGCCAAACGTACCTTAACTGTTACATGGTATATGTCTTTGCAGCATAGTCATTATTCAATTGAAATGCAAACACACTAGTTTACCCATAGGTCATGAGGGGCATGGGTAAATCTGTCATTGCTGAAACTGTACCTATACATTGGCCAAACCCCCAATGGCATTGTGTCTTTAGTAGTTTGAAAACACTTTTTGTGATTTCAAATGTTTTGTAGTAGTGTCTAAACAACATTACTAATGAATATTTGTTGAGTTGAACTTTATTTGGGCTGCACCTCGTTATATCAGGATGGATCTTGTGCAATGGAAACCATCTGATTGATTCTTTGGATTCCCGCTGGCTATTTTGGATAGGTCAAACGGATATAGGCTATTGATTTAGTAATGAGAATTATTTTGTGTTGGTGGGTGTCAAGTCAACACAAACTGCATTTACAATACATCTGCTGGTACTACGTTTTTTTTCTTCCTTTTACCAATTCATAGCACTCAACATTGCTACGTGATTTGTTCAGAGCCTTTTGTAGGTACAGGTTTTAATCCAGCTGCATCTCTACTTACTGCACCTTGTTATACGACTAACAATAAGCATTTCAAATGTATGTAGTTCAAATGTAGAGTAACTTTACACTTTGTTGTGATCAACTATAGTTTTTGCAATTCTTCCCTGTCCAATTGTAAAAATTATCACTTTTATAACCATGGAATTAATCAGTTTTTTGCTGTAGAAATACCACCTAGAGGGCAGAAAGCCCCAGAAACATAATTTGTACCATATGCCATAGCTTCAGCTAAACCAACACAGACGTTTTTTTTTACTGAGCGTTTCGACTCTTTAATTGTTCTTTATCTTAAATGCTTCAATTGTTCTTTCTCTACACATTTAGTAATCTTGTAAATAGGTACTGGTCCATATAAAAGAAAATGTGTGATCATCACTTATTTTACTTGCTTTTCTTTCTCCAGTAAGCAGTCATGGGAGATTCAAGCCGAACGGAACTTGTGCATAAGGCCAAACTGGCTGAGCAGGCTGAGCGTTATGACGACATGGCTGAGGCTATGAAGTCTGTGACGGAGAAAGGCGAGGAACTTTCGAACGAGGAGCGAAACCTGCTGTCAGTGGCATACAAGAATGTTGTGGGTGCCCGACGCTCCTCATGGAGGGTGGTTTCCAGCATTGAGCAGAAGGCTGACGGAACCGACAAAAAGAAGACCATGTCCAAAGACTACAAGGATACGATTGAGAAGGAGCTGAATAAAATCTGCGAAGAAGTGCTGGTGAGTTTTTGAACGTTTACTTCGACAACATTGCTTGCTTAAGAATTCTGTTAACGCTTGTGTCATTCAGAAATAGTTGTCAACATCACTTTTACGTAAAACGTACATAAAACCATGCAAGTCATGAAAGTGGCTAATTTCTCACATTAGGATTTACACTACTTGTCTATGGCCCTATATACAGACTGCATGTTAAAGGTTAATACATTTTGATTTAGTATTCATGCATGCAAATTAGTCGCTTTTCGGTGCCTCCCGCTTTTTTAATGCTGATTTGGGTGACTTGTGTAATTCGTGGAGAACCGAAGAGTTTCCGTTTTGGGGGGTGCCGTACACATGCCGCAGTTTTTGCGTGGCTGTGTCTTTAGTTGTAAGCCCAGTGGCGATCTGTTCTTATTAGCATCTGGTTAGCTAGCTATGCTAACGAATTTAAAGAGCTTTTTCTACAATCCGGTGGAAGAGAGCTCTCTCCTGACAGACTGAGAGGCTCAAATAACCCCAGCTCAGTGAGGTTAAGGCACACCTTGATATGATCATTATAGTTATAAAAAAATAAGAGACTAAATGAAAAACAGGTATAAAATACTATATGACAGAAACTAAAAAGTTGTTAAGAATACAGTTTAAAAAGAGAGTGATTTGTAAAATATCCATAAAGAAAAAGAAAATCTGCTTACAGTTCTGTTTCATATGGGTGTTGAGAGATGTATCCGTAGATCTCTTAATTTTGCTCTCAAAGTGCACCAGATTGATGCTTTTAAAAAAACATTTAAAAATAAATCTTCCCGGGGGAACATGCCCCCGGACCCCCCTAGAGGAGGTCAGATCCACCTCCTACTTAAATCATGTTCACATGGATAGGAAACTAAATACATTTGCATAAATCTTGTGTCCGTATCTTTCTGTTTTGGTGGTCATGCCACAACCGCACGTGCATGCAGCTAGACTGCAGAAGTATTAGTTTTTTGTTTTTGAGGATGGAACAACTTCACACACAGATATAGGGATGCTAGAGCTATACAATTGGTTTATTTTGGTTTATAAATTAGTGTCAAGACATTTATGTTATTGATTTCTGAAGCACTTGCTAAATAATAAAAATAGTTCATATTTATTTACCTCTCTTAAAAGGTCAAATTTCACTTGTTTTGCATCAGTCTTGATACAGGGTACTTATTATATGTTATATTTTGGATTCCTAAAGCTTTTAGTCTCCGATCCCATCATTCAAGGGTGGTTTTCACTATAAGTAATGGTTATTGAAAATGCCCAGTCTCTCATAGACTTGATTTCCTGTGTTTTCCATGCACAGCAGCTGAAGATAAATAATGGATTAAGCTGTTTGTGCCTTTATTGTGGTCGTACGTGAATTGCTTGTTACCCACTGAAACCATCCCTTCAATCAAGGCACTGATCGTCTCGGAAACAGATGGGTTAACAGGAATCAGGAAAATCTAAATGGACATCCTCAAATCAGACAGAAAAAGGTGGACAGGCAGCGCAGCAGCAAGCTGTCTGTGTGGACATTACATGTGTGCGCCACAGCAGTTGAGCAAGGTAGATGTCACACAAAGGTTGAGGCCCAGCCAGTGTAGCCCAGGCGTAAAAATGACAAGTTAAAATCCACAGTTCAGCCGCCAAGAGATCAAATTTGTTCTTTAAATGATGTATCAATTCATATTTGGTACACCGAAAGTATACTCTCACCGCTTGTGACAATAAGCGTGTCCCTGCCAGCTAGCAACAGGGAGGGTCTGTTGAGTGGTGCATGCTTGTGTTATAAGAGCTAACATGGGTTCTGTGATTGACCTACTTCCTCAGTGAAAATTCAACAGCCCTGCTCTCTCATCCTTCTTCACTCCTTGTATCTTCCACACATACACCCACCCTCTTTCTCCTCTTCTTCCTCCCCACTTCTCCACTCACCACCATCTTCATCCCCTACTATACTGGCCCTTTTTCCTTCCCCATGCTTTCATGATGATTTCATGCTTTCGCCATCCACGCAGAGCCTTCGGCTACAATGTTCTGTGACGTAGCTCAGGAAAGGTTAATGCCTCAAGGCTTTTAGAGGTAATCTGTTGAGAAATGATGTTTCTGAAGTGTTGGCAATAATGTTTATTTTATTGTGTTGAAGTAACAGCCAGTGCTCTAGTGGGTTAGGTGCTGTCATTCAAACAAGCCTAGTAGTAATCTGTGTATAAAGTGCCTTGATTATTAATGTGTTAACACAATTTCAACCTGTAGTTTCCAAGTAAATAAATCAATGCTGTTTCTGCTGATTTGCAAAGTCTGCCAAATATAGTGGAAACATTTTATTTAATATCCTAGAAAGTGAGTTATTTTGTAACAGTTAGATTTTTCTGTTTGTCTGCCACAGGAACTCTTGGACCAACATCTCATTCCAAAGGCCTCTGGAGCAGAGAGCAAAGTATTCTATTTGAAAATGAAAGGAGATTACTACCGCTACTTGGCTGAGGTCGCTAAAGTAGAAGGCAAACATGGTAAGTACTATGTCATTTACAAAGTAATTTATACGTGTACGTTTTCCTTTTAGGAGAGATGCATTGTAAAACCTACAAATAAAAGTAACCAGACCCAAAGGAGGTTTTTCAGGGTCCCCACAGATCCTTAATAAGTCTTAAAGGTAAGACTTTCCTGGGGAGAAAAACGTTCCAATTTCTGATTGGCTGGGCGAATTGCAAACCACGCCCCGTTGTGAAGCCGCCATTGTATTTGCTGACATTAGCATTAGCATTAGCCCGGCGCACCAACAGAGAGAGACTAACTTATGGCAACACAAAAAAAAACATGGGAGTGGTGGAGTGATGAGGATGTGTCTGCGTTCTGGCGATTTACTCGGAAGGCTTCAGTAGAAGCTGCTGGGAGTCTTCCCAGCAGCTTCTACTGAAGCCTTCCGAGTAAATCGCCAACTCCGGGGACTTCGGGTGCCAGTATACGCTGTGAAGTTGTTTGCGGCCTGCCAGTAAACCCAAAGCAGAAGAAGAAGTGACGTCAGCGGCTTCATTTGCGTAATCTTCCCTCAGGGACTTATTCCGGTGTGAACGCGATCTGCTCTTTAGTTCCATGGGGGAACTAAGTGCTGGGAACTAAGTACGGCAAAGTACTTGGTGTGAAAGCGGCTATTGTTCAATGTTCCAAAATCACATTGGTTTCTCATACAGCATCTCTTTATAGTATGTGTATTCACTCTCTGTCCTACACGGATTGTTGGAGCTCCTGCCCCCCCCCCCTCCCTGTGAGCCCAGTGTGCTCTGATTGGTCAGCTCGCCCACTCTGTTCTGATGAGTCCACCACCGTTACAGCGGAACATCAGTGTTTATGTGTTACAATGGCGTTAGCAACCAGAAAATGACACCAGTAATGAGAAACGGATGAGAATGCTGCGTGGGGTCTGGGTGCCGTGTTGGCGGGACGTTGCGGGGCTCGCTGCTCCGCCCTGTGGGGCTCGAGGAGCGGACAGTGTGAGGTGGATTACTGGTGTTGTTTCCTGGTTGCTGCGTGGGGTCTGAGCTCCGCGGAGCTCAGGCTGAGTGAGTGTGTATGTCAGGGTTCCCGCGGGGTCTTAAAAAGTCTTAAAAAGTCTTAAATTTGATAATATGAATTTAAGGCCTTAAAAAGGTCTTAAATATGGCCAAAAAAATAAGAAAGGTCTTAAATATGATTTAGAAGGTCTTAAAAATGATCGGATTTGAAAGGTACTTCTGTGTTGCGATAGCGTCTAAATGTGTTTTGGGGGAAATGTCCGGGCTGCAAAGTAACCAGTATGGTAATAGCCTTTCAGTTCCCCCCAACAATTTGTATTGAAATAAATCAACATGGAACCAGTAATCACTAACTTTGTTTCCGCCGGCCCCTTATTGGAGAACACCCAGCTAGTAACCTAGCAACCAAGCTTCAGCTAGCGGCAGACAGAAACTCATGTATCTTCGAATAAATATGGGGAAGTGTAAGTTCAACCGTTATTGGTTGGAAAACATCGAATTTAGTGCTTGGTTGAAACCAGGGGAGGGGAACGTGTTTAAAGCCCGCTGCACCTTTTGCAAAATAAATTAGCGTTTGTTTGGCTAATGTAGCGTTAGCTAGTGTAGCGTTAGCTAGTGCAGCAGCTCCCGCAACAACACATTGGGACCTCCGGGCAACGTTTGGGTCTACGTCAACCCTAAAAGCGGAGGTGCTGTAGACGCTAAATACCGTAGTTAAACACCAATC